TTAAACAAATTTAGCGGCCAAATTCTAAAATTTTCAGGGTATTTTTGGAAAAAATCAATTTTTTGATTTCTCATTTTCAGCCCTTCTGGTATATTTTGAGGTCTTCTAAGTGCTTTTAAACGTCTTTTTGGGCGAAAATACTCCAGGAAACATCTCCTGAGACAACAAAATGACCTAGAAGGGGTCTATTATAGCCTGACCCCCCTTCGCGGACCACTGTGCACACCGTACACTCCAATCAGTATTACTATTTGGTAGACCCAAGACCGGGTATTTGGCGGGAATTCTGTTCCCACGGCACTGTTCTGATAGAAGCTACTTCTACTAATGGTCCCAGAGGAACGGCCGTAAAGTAGCCAGACTTCTTGTCTCCTGTACTGGCTGACATATGCGGATTAAAGTTAGAAATTTTGCTATGCTATAAATATAATTGCTCTCGGAATTGAACAAACCCCTACTTATCTAGATCCTTTCTAAATTCGTTAGAGTTTCATGGACTGGGGAAAAATAATCGGTACAGTCTCCCTAGCTGCTTGTGTAATTAACCAATGAAAACGATCCAAAATTATCACATATGACATAAGCTAAGTTGTAATAGCAGAAACTTTCTAACCGTACATTCACCCGCCACTGTTCAAGAACCTATATCACTGTTTAAAATCATGATGACGTGAGCACTGTACATCCAATCAGCTATTCCTTTAGTTAGGATGATAGCCAAAACTATAAGGATTTTGGAGAACTAGGGTAATAGTCATAATTCTAAAATATGAGTGAGTTACACGTGTTTTATTGACGATGATAAACATTTGCAATGTATTACGCTATGCAAGCGCGCACTGAGGGACTTTATGACGTCACGAGGCCACAGCTTATTATTGCAATAACACGCGTTACTCGTACGCTAGAGAGTTGGTTCTTTCGGCGATACGATTCTTTGGCAACTTGGTCGTTTAGCTCCGGACAGTCTATGCAACGTCAATGCAACGTCCATGCAACAACAAAAGAACCGTCTATGCAACGTCTATGCAACGTCCCTGCACAATGAACACTCTATGCACACTCCCTGCACGGTCAGTCTATGCAACGTCTATGCAACGTCTATGCAACGTCTATGCAACGTCCCTGCACAGTACCATATGAACACCGGCTACTAGCCGGCTACTAGCCGGCTAGTAGCCACTTTTGTAATAACAGCTCCTCAACTTCACATTACCAACCGGCTACTAACCGGCACTTGAAAAGTGGTCACTAGCCGGCTACTAACCGGCTACTAGCCGGCTAGTGACCACAAAGTGGCTACTAACCGGCTACTAAGCGGTCACTAGCCGGCTATTAGCCGAGCTCTAAAGCAGACCTACTAGTAGCCGGTTCCAAACCGGCTACTAGCCGGCACTTAGAAAGCGGTCACTAGCCGGCTACTAACCGGCTACTAACCGGCTAGTAACCACCAAGTGGCTACTAACCGGCTAGTAGCCACTTTTGTAATAACAGCTCCTCAACTTCACATTACCAACCGGCTACTAACCGGCACTTGAAAAGTGGTCACTAGCCGGCTACTAACCGGCTACTAGCCGGCTAGTGACCACAAAGTGGCTACTAACCGCGCCGGCTACTAAGCGGTCACTAGCCGGCTATTAGCCGAGCTCTAAAGCAGACCTACTAGTAGCCGGTTCCAAACCGGCTACTAGCCGGCACTTAGAAAGCGGTCACTAGCCGGCTACTAACCGGCTACTAACCGGCTAGTAACCACCAAGTGGCTACTAACCGGCTACTAACCGGTCACTAGCCGGCTCTTAAACGGACCTACTAGCCGGCACTCGAAAAGCGGTCGCTAGCCGGCTACTAACCGGCTACTAACCGGCTAGTAACCACCAAGTGGCTACTAACCGGCTACCAACCGGTCACTAGCCGGCTATTAGCCGAGCTCTAAAGCAGACCTACTAGTAGCCGGTTCCAAACCGGCTACTAGCCGGCACTTAGAAAGCGGTCACTAGCCGGCTACTAACCGGCTACTAACCGGCTAGTACCCACCAGCCGGCTAGTGACCGCTTTTCAAGTGTCGGCTAGTAGCCGGTTTGGAACTAGAAGGTCCGCTTTAGAGCCGGCTAGTGACCGCTTAGTAGCCGGTTAGTAGCCACTTTGTGGTCACTAGCCGGCTAGTAGCCGGTTAGTAGCCGGCTAGTGACCACCTTTCAAGTGCCGGTTAGTAGCCGGTTGTTAATGTGAAGTTGAGGAGCTGTTATTACAAAAGTGGCTACTAGCCAGCTAGTAGCCGGCTAGTAGCCGGTGTTCATATGGTACTGTGCAGGGACGTTGCATAGACGTTGCATAGACGTTGCATAGACTGACCGTGCAGGGAGTGTGCATAGAGTGTTCATTGTGCAGGGACGTTGCATAGACGTTGCATAGACGGTTCTTTTGTTGTTGCACGGACGTTGCATAGACGTTGCATAGACTGTCCGGAGCTAAACGACCAACTTCCCGATTCTTTACCAGTTTGTCACAGCTGATTTAAATCTTAATAGCCAATTTGGAGACTACAAATTTTTCAGTTAACTGGTCCTTTAAAGAAGCTATTCTCAAGCAGATAGACAACTACACAGAGGACTGGAGACACAGTAAAGGAGTGAAAACTGAGATAACGACTGAACGAAATCTCTTTTATCGACAAAAACAAGCAGAAATACGCCAGGAGCTCGAGTCAACACCACTGGCAAAGTTGATGTTCCAACTAGCGGCTGAGAAAAAGGGGCAAGTGCTTGGTTAACAGCACTACCTTTAAAAGAGTATGGATATCTGATGAATAAACAACAGTTCTCAGATGCAATAGCTCTCAGATACAACCTGAACTTAAAGGACTGCCCTAAAACATGTACGTGTGGCCAGAAATACTCAGCAAACCATGCGCTCATCTGCAAACTTGGTGGATATGTGTCACTGCGGCACAACTCCCTGAGAGACACCTTTGCAGAACTAATGAGAATTGTGAAATGCAAGGATGTGCAGACTGAGCCAGTTCTTCTTACAGTTGATGGTCTAGAGTTACCAACTGGAACAGTCCTAGGAGACCAAGCCAGGCTGGACATTTCTGCAAGATCGATTTGGAATGCTTCAGAGAGGGCATTTTTTGATGTAAGGGTATTTCATGCCCCAGCCCCCTCCAATGCAAGCAAACCGATACCAGCAATGTACCTGTCCCATGAAAATGAGAAAAAGCGATGTTACAATGCAAGGGTTCTTGAAGTGGAGAAAGGAAGCTTCACACCTTTAGTGTTCTCGACTTCTGGTGGAATGGGTGGTGAAGCTGAGAGACTGGTCAAGAAGCTGGCCAGTAAGATGGAGTACCACACTGGCCAGAGGTACTCAGACGCTGTAGGATACATAAGAAAGCGCCTTCGCTTTGAAATCCTCAGAACAACAGTGATTTCTCTCCGTGGAGACAGAGGTGCGAGAAAAAACATTGTTGATATATAAACAGTCTAGATCTTAACTTGGAGCCACAAGCCCAGTGACATAAAGTGAGGAATCTAAGAATCTAATTCCTAGCCATATTAATTTCCATAGCCACGCCGACTAATTTTTGTCAACAAAATTATTAAATCAACTTTAAAATAGTCGCTCTCGGTTGTTACACACTGTAACGCCGCGCACTGTACTTTAATTCTATATTTATCTGAGAAGATGTTTGAATCGAGCGCAAATGCCAGATTCCTGTCAGGATCCTAGTTCTTGCGCTTAACTTGCGCGTTACCAAATAATCCAAGATATTTCTGTCAGGATCCAAGATTTTCCTACTACCAGTATGGTAGTATGGACTGTTTGGTAGTATGGTAGTATGGTAGTTGCAGGAACGCGCGAAGACCTATATGTAAATATTACTAAAGCGTACATGGAATCGTATCCTAGTCGGTTAATCCGTCGGTACTATATTAGCAGATCGCGAGTTCGAGACCCGGAAAGGAATTTTTTCACAATCTTTTGGCAATTATGAATAACTATACTAATGAATTAATAACTATACTAATGAATAACTAAACCTCTGTAATATAACTAGCAAAGTAAAATGAAATCGTTATCCGGCCGCGGAGCGGCCGAAAAATTTATGGTAGTCGTTTTAAAAATATATGGTAGCCGTTTTTTCTTTCCAGACTGGATTCCTAGTCCCTTTTTAAATTTATGTCACTGGGGCCACAAGGCCAAGGGTAAAAAATTTTTTTGATTGTTAAGGGAATTTTTTGAATTCTTAAAGGGTTGATTTTATATAGGGTCATTGCTATATTATGTGTATATTGTTTGAATAATTTATACTTTATTAAAAAAAAATATGATCTCAAATATTGATAGAAACATTTAAAAAATCACCCTTAGCCTTGGCCTTGTGGCTCCAAATTCAAATCTAGAGTATCTATATTAACAAAATTCTTTTTTGCATATCTGTCTCCCCGGAGAGAAATCACTGTTGTTCTTTCGATTTCGAAACGAAGGCGCTTCCTTATATTTATATATCCAACAGCATCTGAATATCTTTGACCTGACGACCTGTGTTATATTCCATTTTACTAGCCAGCTTCTGCACCTAATATGTAATATCCACACTTAATATCCATTACTCAAGCAATGAATTTAGAGCCAACTAATTGAATTGGCTACTTTTACTACTTAAAGGGTTTTTATAAAATTTACTAAGATTTTTGTTGAATTTTTATATAATCAGTAGTGGAGAAATAATTGCTATATTATGTGTATATTGTTTGAATTTCTTCTGTTCTTTTGTATATTGTTGATGTTATATTGCTTAGGTTCAATTTGAGTGGTTTGATTATGAAAGTGGTTTGATAAAGTTTGACTTTGGCATAAATGATTAGAGTGAAATTTTGTTTCTTATCCCAGCGATTTTGTTTGATCCAGGTGGTAATATTGTGCGTCTGCAGCCTTGTTTTACTTTTAAAATTTTGTTTTACTTATATACTGGGTTTCTCTAACTGTAGTTCACGTCAGGTAAGGACATTTGAAAATATTCGTGAAATGTCCTCCAAGTTCATAGATTTCGTTAAAGTTGGCTCAAAGATTGTGTGTGTTGGTCGTAACTATGCAACGCATGCTAAAGAGTTGGGGAATGCCCTTCCTACAGCACCTATTTTGTTCACCAAACCGACGACTTGCTATGTCAATGATGGTGGTATAATAAGATACCCAAGCATATCTAGTGATTTACATTACGAAGTAGAATTGGGTGTTATAATTGGTGAGAAAGCTTCACAAGTTTCAGAAGATAAAATTATGAATCATGTTGCTGGTTACACTATCGCAGTTGATGTCACTTGCAGAGATATCCAGGAACAGTGTAAAAAGGAACGAATTCCCTGGACTATGGCAAAATGTTTGGATACTTTTTGTCCAGTTGGAAATTTTGTGTCATCCAGTGAGATTGATCCTTTCAATACTGAACTTGTGTTAAAGCTCAACAACGAATTAAAGCAGCACGGTAATACCAAGGATATGATATTTAGTGTCCCATCTCTTCTAGAGTATATTAACAGACACATCACACTCTTACCTGGAGATGTGATTCTTACAGGAACTCCAGAGGGTGTTGGGCCTCTATCTCGTGGTGATGAGATTCATGTTGCTATTCCTAATGTTACTGAAGCTACTTTTCATGTTGAATAAGCATGTTCAAAATCATTTAAGAAGGACATTTTATATTATTGCAATGGTGATTGCTTTTATTTCAAAAGATGCTGTCTTTAGACATAAATAAGGTATGTTACAATGTTACAAACTAGACTGTAATATGATTGACTGTCACATCATTATTCACAGCATTATATAAGCTTCACCTTATAATCGAATCATGATCATTGTCAGTGTAAATGAAAATGAAGTGACATTTCATGGAAATCACACATGTAAAATGTAAATGTACTTGAAAAAAAACTTATATTTTTGTTAAATTTTGTTCAAATTTTCTAGAAATCTATTTATAATACGTACTTATAGAATCGATAATGTGACTCCCTGACAAAGCTTTAAATTTCGTTTGTTTCCATCGGCCCTGAACTCTCAAATTTTTGGAATCAGCCATCATACAATTTAATGTTAAAAGTTAAGGCTTGAAAAATTCCATTTTTAGGTAAAGCCTCAAAGTTAGATTCAATTTTCTTTGCCTATTTGACTATCAAAACCTTTCAATAGGAAGCGAAAGATGAAAGATTTTGTGAAAAGAAGCACTAAAATAGTCTGCATGGGCCGTAACTATGCCAAGCATGCTGCTGAACTGGGAAACGAGGTACCAACAATGCCTTTTTATTTCCTCAAACCAACAACATGCTATGTCGAGGATGGAGGAAATATCATCTACCCGAAAATAACAAAGAATCTTCACCATGAGTTGGAGCTTGGTGTAATCATTGGAAAGAAGATGACTAAAGTGTCTAAAGAGGACGTTATGGCTCACGTTTCTGGATTCTCTGTAACTATTGATGTAACATGCCGTGATCTACAAGAGCAGTGTAAGGCAGAAAGGAAACCCTGGTCCATATCAAAGTGTCTGGACACCCACTGTGCTGTTGGACCCTTCATTTCTGTAGACAAACTGGTCCACAACAACGTGGAGATGATTCTGAAGGTGAATGGGGAGGTTAAACAGCATGCCAACACTAAGGACATGTTATTTGATGTACCAGCTCTGATAGAGTTTATTACCCAACATATCACTCTTCTCCCCGGTGATCTGGTACAGACGGGTACCCCTGAGGGTGTTGGACCAATGAACGTGGGAGATATTGTCACTGTGGCCATCCCTGGGGTTTCTGAAGCTTCTTTCAAGATAGTTGGCGATGAGTGAACTTTCAGGCAAAGTTTCGATTACTATTTCGCTTGATTTTATGAGTTTTCTAATTTTTATGTGTGTTTGATACCGTTTTATGAGTTAACAAAATTAGTATTTTAACATATGCTAGGATGTTATTAAATTGATTTATATCTTCATTTTCATCAAGACTGAACTTTAAATGTGTTTTTTATATTATAATTGGGCTGTTTTATTTCATATTTTACCAGTAGTAACTAGGCTTAAAGTTTTTTAATGGTGAAATTTATTCTTTAGGTATAGTTATAGTTTCATTTATCATGAATTTAAATGTATCAGATTTTTGATTGTGCTTAACATTATTATTGATTGATTTACTAATAAAGACTCGTTTTTTCTTCTTCTCTTATCTCTGGGTAATTACATGAGTTCACACTTTTCATTGATTCCAAACGACTGAATACTTACTAACATATAGGGTGAAGCTAACTTGTATAGATTATGATGATCTAGCCACAAACATGTTCTGAAATGTCCTCATATTAATCTAACGATTATTATAGCAAGCATGAGTACCTCTGTTCTAAAAAAGCTTATAAACTCGACTGCTGAGTCGAACATATCGATGAGGAAACAGATAAAAGAACAACAGATGTCTCTTTCGCGGTTAGAACATCGGATGAAACAGAAGAAGTTAGGCAGCACTACGCAGAGACAAAATCAACTTAGAATACCCCCTGGAAAGATGGTATGTCTTCGATAATTATATATACACTATTTCAATTGTTATTTTATAGTTATTTCTGAGCGCAATGTTATGTTTTACAGATTCAATATCAATACTCAGTGGATATGCAGATTAACAGTAATGTTACACCAGATAATAAAAGCAAAAGGAAAGATGATAATGCGAGTGAGGAACGATAAAGCAATATTAGACGAGCTCACCAACACCAAACACCGAGCGGACAGTGACGACGAGATGACGGACAAATCCTCCCCCAAATTCGACTCAAAAACAGCCCCCAACCTTATTATCCAGAGTTCAGTGCAGAACGCGCCCACTGCTACAAGTGTGCCGCCTCCCCACACAGCAGTGCAGCCCCCGCCCCACTCTCACCCGCCTCCCCCTGGATATTACCAGCACCCTCCCCCTGGATACAATCCTCGACCTCCAATTGTTCTAGACAGACATTATTCTCACCATCAACCAGTACACTATGTCGAGGAATATGTCCAGTAAGTTCTCAGCTATGAGAGGTCACTCATTACTTTTAAAAGGAATTAAATCATCATTATTTTGATATCACTTTATGCTGTATAAAACTTATATATCAAGTAAATGCTACGATTGTTTTACTTTATTTATTTATTTACTATTTACTACGGGGGAAGTTGTTTAGAGGTTTAATAAAAAATGTTTGAAATTAATTAATTTCAGTGAGCCGCCACCCACAGTCTACAAAGTTCGCAAGCCCTATCCTCGTTCCTACCCAGAACCAGTGATAGTGTACCCTAATGAACCAACTTCCCCTCACGACCACTATCAGCGCTCCCGCCCTACCGAGTATAAAACATCACATTATCCCTCAGAATCGTGGCATTCCTCGCATTCCCCGCCACCTCGTCACCACAACACGTCTCCAAGATATAAACACAGTGGTCCTGGTCACTACCAGCACAGAGAGGAGCCGGTATTGAAGGAGGAGGATAGAAGTTGGAACTCGGCTTCAATTAATCACTATGTGGATGTGAGTGTTGGTTAATTAGTTTGTTAATTGGTTAATTAGTTTGTTAATTAGTTTGTTAATTAGTTTGTTAATTGGTTAATTAGTTTGTTAACTGGTTAATTAGTTTGTTAATTAGTTTGTTAATTGGTTAATTAGTTTGTCAAATATTGGTTAATTAGTTTTTTAATTGTTTAATTAGTTTGTTAATGATCTTAATCTTTGAATATTTGGTAACTTAGTATGTAGTTTGACGAATTTTAGGATGAAGCTGAGAGTGACAACTTAATTTGTGATCGGAATGTTAGTTGTTACTAAGTATAACTATAAGTTTTATCCTAACGGTGGTGTTATTAAATGTTAAATTTATCATTATCTAATGTGTCATTACCTCAGACCAGCAGAAAGAGGAGTTATCCTTCAAAGGAGAGTACTGACAATGTTATAAGACACGATCTGACGAAGCGTCCCACTAAAAACACCCAATTCAGGGTTCTTATCTCTAATCTTCATCCTTCTGTTACTTTACAGGACATTGAGGTACTAGACCTTATAAACTATTTTACACTTATTACAAATTCTCCTTCCCCAACTGAATCTTGATACTGTTTCAGTGCCATATCTTCTCTTGTGACCTTAAAACAATCACACAACAAGAGATGTAATGTAACCAATTCCAGGAACTGTTCAGTGCGATCGACACAGTGGAGCACATACAGATGTTATACCCAGGGGTAGCCGAAGTGTTGTACATAAGTGAACAAAGTGCCTCTGTCTCAGTTGAGAGGTATCACAATAGAGACCTAGATGGGCAGCCCATGCAGATCAGTTACTCCCTTGTTCCAGTTACTAAACGGTTCGTTCACATTCCTCTTGTTAGTTTCCTGTTATTTGTTGCTTTTTGTGTTTTTTCTAAAGATGTTAAATTTGGGATTTGTTCCGTAATAATTATAATCGATTCCTCGTTGTCGCTGTATTGTTACATGTCATATAATGTAATGACTGTATAATCTGTCTTTGTCCCTGAGTAATTCCATAATACCACAGCAGAGAGAGTGAAACTGGTCCAACAATACGCAACATTCCACCACCACAGAGACCGGCTGTAACAACTAAACCTACTAAACCTGCCACACAAAATACCTCTAAACACAGAAATAACCGACCAGAACCCCAACTGAAGATAAAAAATTCCGGGTAAAACACCAAAACTCTTAAATACACTTCGTTTCTAATTACTGCATTCTTGCTTTCGTTTATGTAGAACAACTAAACTGAATAAGATAGCTGTATCGTTAGCCGTATATTTACAAGCTTGTTGAATTATTGACAGTGCCCATTTCCAGGAAACCAGAACAGAAGACTTCAGCCATTTACCGGCGAGAGCAGGAGTTTATACCCCTGACACAAAGTGCCCCTCAACCCAGTTATAAGAGACCTAAGACGAGGGGGCGTGGGCCGAACAGGGGGGTGGCACGAGGCTCGCACTCTAGCGCAACACCACACTCTAGCAGAGCGCCGTCGCACTCTAGCGCGGTGCCTCATTCTAGCCTGCCACCTGTACACTCTGATACTGAGTCTAGTGTTCACTCCTTTACTGTGACTATGTAGTATAGAACTAGCTCATGTTGACTGTAGCATATAATGTACACTGTCTTCTAGGTGCATTTTTAGGATGATACATTGTAATGGCATGTCACGTGACGTATTCTGTAAATCTGATCCGCATATCTACTACTGGAGTATTGTGTAGAATATCAAGTGTGGGATGGTGTGTAATCTGATACAGGGTAGAAAGGGGTGAATAGTGAAGCAGGAGTAAACCCGGTTTAGGCTAAAATGTTTAGCAATCTACACATTTTGTGGCCGTGACTTGGTCCAAAAATAGAAGCTTAACGTCTTATGATATTCAGTATTTTCGAAAGGTTTTTAAAAAGTATGAGATTTATATTAAGTTGGTGCTGTCGTGAGTAGGTCCAAAACTTTATTTTAATTGTTGGTCCGTACTCCAGAATTTGGTGTTGCGAGCAGATCTTGGTAAAGGAAATTAAGTGTTTACTAGTTTAAAGTTGTAATGGAGCATTGTTTTTCTAGTTAGATGAATGGATACGTTTTATGTTGTAGAGGCAGGACATTGATTTGCTTTGACTAATGTCTTCTTGAATATTTACAAATTCATTTGATTTTGACCCATCAAGAATTATGGGAAAATTATATTAACTGTATTTATACGCTTTAACCCCGAAACTGATTTTAAACAGCTTGAGGTTTATACATATAACATTTTATAATTGCAATTTTTTACGAGAAATGTGTATTTTAGCTGCCAATATGTATATGGCGTTAGGGTTGAATTTGTATCTAGTTATTATCAGTTCATAACATGAGACGTTTCACTTTTTCCAAATATAGTTCTGCTGTGTACTTCTCTCCTAAACTCTTATATGGCATATTCCATCTCTCACCTTGTTGTAAATATCATAACAAACACTCAGTCTCTAACCAGATAACACGCATATTCCCTCTCTCACCTTGCTGTTAATATCATAACAAACACTCAGTCTCTAACCAGATAACACGCATATTCCCTCTCTCACCTTGCTGTTAATATCATAACAAACACTCAGTTTCTAACCAGATAACACGCATATTCCCTCTCTCACCTTGCTGTTAATATCATAACAAACACTCAGTCTCTAGTTATAAATATCATAACGAACACTCAGTCTCTAACCAGATAACACGCATATTCCCTCTCTCACCTTGCTGTTAATATCATAACGAACACTCAGTCTCTAACCAGATAACACGCATATTCCCTCTCTCACCTTGCTGTTAATATCATAACAAACACTCAGTCTCTAACCAGATAACACGCATATTCCCTCTCTCACCTTGCTGTTAATATCATAACAAACACTCAGTTTCTAACCAGATAACACGCATATTCCCTCTCTCACCTTGCTGTAAATATCATAACAAACACTCAGTTTCTAACCAGATAACACGCATATTCCCTCTCTCACCTTGTTGTAAATATCATAACGAACACTCAGTCTCTAACCAGATAACACGCATATTCCCTCTCTCACCTTGTTGTAAATATCATAACAAACACTCAGTTTCTAACCAGATAACACGCATATTCCCTCTCTCACCTTGCTGTTAATATCATAACAAACACTCAGTTTCTAACCAGATAACACGCATATTCCCTCTCTCACCTTGCTGTTAATATCATAACAAACACTCAGTTTCTAACCAGATAACACGCATATTCCCTCTCTCACCTTGCTGTTAATATCATAACGAACACTCAGTTTCTAACCAGATAACACGCATATTCCCTCTCTCACCTTGCTGTTAATATCATAACAAACACTCAGTCTCTAGTTATAAATATCATAACGAACACTCAGTCTCTAACCAGATAACACGCATATTCCCTCTCTCACCTTGCTGTTAATATCATAACGAACACTCAGTTTCTAACCAGATAACACGCATATTCCCTCTCTCACCTTGCTGTTAATATCATAACAAACACTCAGTCTCTAACCAGATAACACGCATATTCCCTCTCTCACCTTGCTGTTAATATCATAACAAACACTCAGTTTCTAACCAGATAACACGCATATTCCCTCTCTCACCTTGCTGTTAATATCATAACGAACACTCAGTCTCTAACCAGATAACACGCATATTCCCTCTCTCACCTTGCTGTTAATATCATAACAAACACTCAGTCTCTAGTTATAGATATCATAACGAACACTCAGTCTCTAACCAGATAACACGCATATTCCCTCTCTCACCTTGCTGTTAATATCATAACAAACACTCAGTCTCTAACCAGATAACACGCATATTCCCTCTCTCACCTTGCTGTTAATATCATAACAAACACTCAGTTTCTAACCAGATAACACGCATATTCCCTCTCTCACCTTGCTGTTAATATCATAACAAACACTCAGTTTCTAACCAGATAACACGCATATTCCCTCTCTCACCTTGCTGTTAATATCATAACAAACACTCAGTCTCTAACCAGATAACACGCATATTCCCTCTCTCACCTTGCTGTTAATATCATAACAAACACTCAGTTTCTAACCAGATAACACGCATATTCCCTCTCTCACCTTGTTGTAAATATCATAACAAACACTCAGTCTCTAACCAGATAACACGCATATTCCCTCTCTCACCTTGCTGTTAATATCATAACAAACACTCAGTTTCTAACCAGATAACACGCATATTCCCTCTCTCACCTTGCTGTTAATATCATAACGAACACTCAGTCTCTAACCAGATAACACGCATATTCCCTCTCTCACCTTGCTGTTAATATCATAACGAACACTCAGTTTCTAACCAGATAACACGCATATTCCCTCTCTCACCTTGCTGTTAATATCATAACAAACACTCAGTTTCTAACCAGATAACACGCATATTCCCTCTCTCACCTTGCTGTTAATATCATAACAAACACTCAGTCTCTAACCAGATAACACGCATATTCCCTCTCTCACCTTGCTGTTAATATCATAACGAACACTCAGTTTCTAACCAGATAACACGCATATTCCCTCTCTCACCTTGCTGTTAATATCATAACAAACACTCAGTCTCTAACCAGATAACACGCATATTCCCTCTCTCACCTTGCTGTTAATATCATAACAAACACTCAGTTTCTAACCAGATAACACGCATATTCCCTCTCTCACCTTGCTGTTAATATCATAACGAACACTCAGTCTCTAACCAGATAACACGCATATTCCCTCTCTCACCTTGCTGTTAATATCATAACAAACACTCAGTTTCTAACCAGATAACACGCATATTCCCTCTCTCACCTTGCTGTTAATATCATAACAAACACTCAGTCTCTAGTTATAAATATCATAACGAACACTCAGTCTCTAACCAGATAACACGCATATTCCCTCTCTCACCTTGCTGTTAATATCATAACGAACACTCAGTTTCTAACCAGATAACACGCATATTCCCTCTCTCACCTTGCTGTTAATATCATAACAAACACTCAGTCTCTAACCAGATAACACGCATATTCCCTCTCTCACCTTGCTGTTAATATCATAACGAACACTCAGTCTCTAACCAGATAACACGCATATTCCCTCTCTCACCTTGCTGTTAATATCATAACAAACACTCAGTCTCTAACCAGATAACACGCATATTCCATCTCTCACCTTGTTGTAAATATCATAACAAACACTCAGTTTCTAACCAGATAACACGCATATTCCCTCTCTCACCTTGCTGTTAATATCATAACAAACACTCAGTCTCTAGTTATAAATATCATAACGAACACTCAGTCTCTAACCAGATAACACGCATATTCCCTCTCTCACCTTGCTGTTAATATCATAACGAACACTCAGTTTCTAACCAGATAACACGCATATTCCCTCTCTCACCTTGCTGTTAATATCATAACAAACACTCAGTCTCTAACCAGATAACACGCATATTCCCTCTCTCACCTTGCTGTTAATATCATAACAAACACTCAGTCTCTAGTTATAGATATCATAACGAACACTCAGTCTCTAACCAGATAACACGCATATTCCCTCTCTCACGGGCTTGCTGTTAATATCATAACAAACCCTCAGTTTCTAACCAGATAACACCTAGATATGGCTGCCAGACTTGCCGCAGCAGTGCGTTGTCACTCCCGCTCCCTATCCACCGCCTCCGAGTTTATCCGGGGCCCAGTTCAGGTGTTCGGTATCGAGGGTCGGTACGCGCACGCGCTTTACAGCGCTGCTACTAAAGCAGGCAGTGCTGACGCTATCGAGAGCCAACTCAACTCTCTACAGGTTAGTATTTCTAGTACTCTTAACACATGCTGGGGGGGGGGGGGTCAACCTCATTTTACCTCATGAGGCCAGCCAAAAAAGGCAAAATTGGGATGAGGTAAAATGAGGTAAAATGAGGTAAATAAATCTAGTTTTCTAAGCCTTTTTTTAGATGCAAAAAAGGTTTATTCGAAGTCATTATAATATAATTCGAGGCTGTGCATGGTCTTTCATGATATTTAATGGTTTATTAGGGGTGATGTGGTCCCTGGGAAGGGGCATTCCCAGTTTAACATACTTACTCTCCAAACTTGGGGTAAATAAAACTTAGCATTATAATTATTATTTATGAAAAGAAAATTGAACATTTCAATTTCCATGATCCATTAGCTTTAGGAAATTGTTAATTGCACTTGCTAAGTTTTGTAAAGGAATTAGCAATAACTTTAGTGTCACTTTGGCAGTTGCCAATTTATGGGGATATTTCCGCATTGCATGACATGGACCATTTAAATAATATCTTAGTTTGATATTGCGATTATCGAGTCACTCTGAAACAAATTGTGTCTAACTAGACCAAATGTAAACAACAGTTGTGCATGGAACTGGATTGGATATCTACATGAATTTAGTCGAAATTGCATAGTGAGATAGTGAAAGGTCATTTCATAATAAATTACTCATATAAACTCATACTTCATACAATTCTAAGTTCTTATCATGTACATTTTCAATGTTCATGATTCGCTGTAGAATAAAGGGCGGTTCACAAAACCACTTTTCGTTCATATAATTAGATATCACCTCTAATTAGTTGCTCTATAGGATCAGGAACAACCAAACAATTTTTTGTGTCTACGGTTTCGTATAATACTGACTTGGGCCACGCCCATATTTTTCACCAATTTTTAACAGGTAAAATTATCTAAATCGTCAATTTAGTCACGAAGGAGTTTGGAAGGAGTTCTAAATGTGTGCTCCTCTAAAACAGTAGGAAATGGTTAACTTTAGTCGAGGTTTCAGGTCTCTACAATGTCGGGAAGTTCCTGCAGGAATTTGCGCATTGCGCTGAAGCGCAAGATTCACTGCGTCAAAAGCGAAGGTCGTAGAGACATGAGACCTTGACTAAAGTTAACCATTTCATACCATTGCTATCAGAGTATGCCACTTTCAGAGTCCTGAACACACTCCTACAGCTCTTAATCGTCAATTATATGAATTTTACCTGTTAAAATATATCATCTTTAACTGATGTCAATTTAGTTTAAAACACTGTTAGTTTTTAAAAAGAACATATTACTTCACACCAAACTAACGCACAATATGATAATATAAAAAAGGAAGGTTTTCCTTGGATTCCGAATTCAACTTTGATTATATCCTGGCACTGATTATCACTTCTCGATTGTTCTCCATTTTCCAATGCAGTCAGCAAGTTCCAATTTAGGTAGACTAGGTTTTCGAATCTTCATATTATGTTCAGAAGCAGGCCAGAAGGGGTTGTTACCAGAGGAATATCTTCTTGAACAAGGAATTAATGAGGTCTTCATTTATTTCTTCATAACTCGTCATTGACAGTCCGGACAGGATGAGCATTGACGAGATCCACTGATTACTTCATAGCTCGTCATAGATAGGATCAGTATTAAATGAGGTCGAATGATTACTTCATAGCTCGTCACTAACTGGATCAGCATAACATGACTAACAACTAACGAGGTCAAGTGATCTCTTGCTGATACATCAAAACAAGATCAGTAAATAGCTATAAATATCGAAAAAAATTAGCTTAGAAATTACAGAGTACAAATGCCTTCTTCAGAACTAACTCTTTGGCCTCATCTTTTTAAATCACTCATTCCCTCTGAAACAAGATAATGCTTAGGACTAGGAGGAACTTAGTTAACTTCTTGTATAATTCGGTAAGAGGAAAATTCCTTAGTGAGCTAAAATTCTTTTGTAGGATGTTACCACTTATCATATCTGTTATCCAGCATAATCCCGCAACTACTAACTAGACCCTCTTATCCTGGAGTCTTGACAATGACAATTGACAGCAGCAATGTACACTATTTTGATGGTCCAGGTCTCCAAGAAAACCTTCCTCTTTATATTCTCATATTGTGTGTGAGTTTGGTGTGAAGTATTATTTTCTTTTTTAAAACTAACAGTGTTAAACTAAATTGATATCAGTAAAAGATGATATATTTTAACAGGTAAAATTCATACAATTGACGATTAAGAGATATGGGAGTGTGTTTAGGACTCTGAAAGTGGCATACTCTTATAGCAATGGTATGAAATGGTTAACTTTAGTCACGGTCTCATGTCTCTACGACCTTCGCTTTTGGCGCTGTGAATCTTGCGCTTCAAGCGCAATGCGCAAATTCCTGCAGGAACTTTCCGACATTGTAGAGACCTGAGACCTCGACTTAAGTTAACCATTTCCTACTGTTTATATTAGAGGAGCACACATTTAGAACTCCTTCCATACTCCTTCGTGACTAAATTGACGATTTAGAGAATTTTACCTGTTAAAAATTTTTGCCGAGATTTACCTCATTTTACCTCATGAGGCCAGCCAAAAAAGGCAAAATTGGGATGAGGTAAAATGAGGTAAAATGAGGTTGACCCCCCCCCCCCCCATGCTTGACACAGATAGTTAATAGTGGCATGCAGTGTCAATAATGGTGCTTTTTAAAGTATTTCGAATTCCTCTATTTTGTATAGTTTGCACTTTAAAGTACGTTTAAGGTACCCTACACTCACGATTTGTTGATTGAGCTGTGATGGTGACTTCATAAAAAAGTTGTTATATTGTTTATCTTTGTCAGGGAGCTATTGACTCTGTTAGTGGAGTAAAGGAGTATCTAACTCTCCCAGTATGCAGCAAAGAAGAGAAGAAATCTACTCTTGGAGGTTAATATTAACCGTGTTATTCTAGTTTTAGGATATGTGTATACTGTACTTTATCGTAAAACGACGCAGCTAATGGGTGTATAATTTATGTATATGAATGTATAACTAGTGTATGATTTATCATAATACTAACAAATTGTCAGGAGCGTTTGATGAAGCAGGAATAGATCCCCTTATCGGCAACATGGTATCAACAATGATAGATAACAAGAGATCCGCTAACATTTCGGGTGTTGTCGGAGCATTTAACACTATCATGGCAGCGCAACGTGGCGAGGTTAGTTTAACTTACTATAGTAACTAAATGAGTAACACTATAGCAACTAAGCGAGGTTTATTATTATTCAGTTTAGAACTGTTCGACTTGTGAATGGGGGGGGGGGTGTCACGTCCGTCTATGTCCGCTTGTCTCATAGAATCCAAAAAGGACAGGACATAGGCGGACATAGGCGGACATAGACGGACATGGGCGGACATAGGCGGACATAGACGGACATAGGCGGACATAGGCGGACATAGGCGGACATTAATGGACACCTAAATTGCTAAATAAAATGTTCAATTTTTGCTGTTATAGGGGGATCATGTTTTTTGTCCGTTCGGTACCCTATATTTTCCAAACGGACAAAAAATAGAGCGGACAAAAACGGACAAAAATGGACAAAAACGGACAAAATGGAAATAACATTTAGATGCTTCCTCCTCCTACTCTTCCTCCTCCTCCCCCTGGGTCATCCTGATCTTCCTCAGTCCTCTTCCTCCTCCCCTCCTCAGTCCTCCTCCTACTCCTCCTCCTCGTCCTCAGTCCTCCTCATCAGTCCTCAACAGTCCTCCTCCTCCCCAGTCCTCCTCCTCCTCCTGAGTCCTCCTCCTGGGTCCTCCTCCTCTTCATCCTCCTCCTCTTCCTCCCCAGTCCTCAGTCCTCCTCAGTCCTCCTCCTCATCCTTCTCCTCAGTCCTCCATCCTCCTCCTCAGTCCTCCCCCAGTCCTCCTCCTCCTCCTATTCAGTCCTCCTCCTCCTCCTCCTCCTTCTCAGTCCTCCTCAGTCCTCCTCCTCCTCCTCCTCCTCTTCCCTCTCAGTCATCCTCCTCAGCCATCCACCTCAGTCCTCCTCAGTCCTCCTCCTCCTGGGTCCTCCTCCTCCTCTTCCTCCTCGGTCCTCAGTCCTCCTCCTCCTGGGTCCTCCTCCTCATCCTTCTCATCAGTCCTCCTCCTCAGTCATCCTCCTCAGCCATCCTCCCCAGCCATCCTCCTCAGTACTCCTCAGTCCTCCTCCTTCTCAGTCATCGTCAGTCCTCCTCCTCAGTCCTCCTCAGTCCTCCTCCTCCTGATCCTCCCCAGTCCTCTTCCTCCTCCCCTCCTCACTCCTCCTCCTACTCTTCCTCCTCGTCCTCAGTCCTCCTCATCAGTCCTCAACAGTTCTCCTCCTCCCCAGTCCTCCTCCTCCTGGGGCCTTTTCCTGGGTCCTCCTCCTCCTGGGTCCTCCTCCTCCTGGGTCCTCCTTCTCCTCCTCAGTCCTTCTCCTCCTCCTCCTCTTCCTCCTCTTCCTCCTCTTCCTCCTCAGTCATCCTCCTCCTCCTCATCCTCCTCAGCCATCCTCCCCAGTCATCCTCCTCAGCCATCCTCCTCAGCCATCCTCCTCAGCCCTCCTCCTTCTCAGTCCTCCTCAGTCCTCCTGAGTCCTCCTCCTCCTCAGTCATCCTCCTCAGTTCTCCTCCTCCTCCTCATAGGTCCTCCTTCTGGGTCCTCCTCCTCCTCCTCCTCCTAGGTCCTCCTTCTGGGTCCTCCTCCTCCTCCTGGGTCCTCCTCCTCATCCTTCTCATCAGTCCTCCTCCTCCCCAGTCCTCTCCCAGTCCCCCTCCTTCTCCTCCTCCTATTCAGTCCTCCTCCTCCTCCTCCTCAGTTCTCCTCAGTCCTCCTTATCATTTCTCCTTCAAGTCCTCCTCCTGAGTCCTCCTCCTCTTCCTTCTGAGTCCTCCTCCTGAGTCCTCCTCCTCCTCCCTCTCAGTCATCCTCCTCAGTCATCCTCCTCAGCCATCCTCCCCAGCCATCCTCCTCAGCCATCCTCCTCAGTACTCCTCAGTCCTCCTCCTTCTCAGTCATCGTCAGTCCTCCTCCTCAGTCCTCCTCAGTCCTCCTCCTCCTGGGTCCTCCTCCTGGGTCCTCCTGGGTCTTCCTGATCCTCCCCAGTCCTCTTCCTCCTTCCCTCCTCACTCCTCCTCCTACTCTTCCTCCTCGTCCTCAGTCCTCCTCATCAGTCCTCAACAGTTCTCCTCCTCCCCAGTCCTCCTCCTCCTCCTGGGGCCTTTTCCTGGGTCCTCCTCCTGGGTCCTCCTCCTCCTGGGTCCTCCTCCTCCTCAGTCCTCCTTCTCCTCCTCAGTCCTTCTCCTCCTCCTCCTCAGTCCTCTTCCTCCTCTTCCTCCTTTTCCTCCTCTTCCTCCTCTTCCTCCTCTTCCTCCTCTTCCTCCTCCTCCTCCCTCTCAGTCATCCTCCTCAGCCATCCTCCTCAGCCATCCTCCTCAGCCCTCCTCCTTCTCAGTCCTCCTCAGTCCTCCTGAGTCCTCCTCCTCCTCAGTCATCCTCCTCAGTTCTCCTCCTCCTCCTCCTAGGTCCTCCTTCTGGGTCCTCCTCCTCCTCCTCCTCCTCCTAGGTCCTCCTTCTGGGTCCTCCTCCTCCTCCTGGGTCCTCCTCCTCATCCTTCTCATCAGTCCTCCTCCTCCCCAGTCCTCTCCCAGTCCCCCTCCTTCTCCTCCTCCTATTCAGTCCTCCTCCTCCTCCTCCTCAGTTCTCCTTAGTCCTCCTTATCATTTCTCCTAAGTCCTCCTCCTGAGTCCTCCTCCTCTTCCTTCTGAGTCCTCCTCCTGAGTCCTCCTCCTCCTCCCTCTCAGTCATCCTCCTCAGTCATCCTCCTCAGCCATCCTCCCCAGCCATCCTCCTCAGCCATCCTCCTCAGTACTCCTCAGTCCTCCTCCTTCTCAGTCATCGTCAGTCCTCCTCCTCAGTCCTCCTCAGTCCTCCTCCTCCTCCTCCTGGGTCCTCCTGGGTCTTCCTGATCCTCCCCAGTCCTCTTCCTCCTCCCCTCCTCAGTCCTCCTCCTACTCTTCCTCCTTGTCCTCAGTCCTCCTCATCAGTCGTCAACAGTTCTCCTCCTCCCCAGTCCTCCTCCTCCTCTTGGGGCCTTTTCCTGGGTCCTCCTCCTGGGTCCTCCTCCTCCTGGGTCCTCCTTCTCCTGGGTCCTCCTTCTCCTCCTCAGTCCTTCTCCTCCTCCTCCTCAGTCTTCTTCCTCCTCTTCCTCCTCCTCCTCCCTCTCAGTCATCCTCCTCAGCCATCCTCCTCAGCCATCCTCCTCAGCCATCCTCCTCAGTCCTCCTCCTTCTCAGTCCTCCTCAGTCCTCCTCCTCCTCAGTCATCCTCCTCAGTTCTCCTCCTCCTCCTCCTAGGTCCTCCTTCTGGGTCCTCCTCCTCCTCCTCTTCCTGGGTCTTCCTGATCCTTCTTCTCCCTCTCAGTCATCCTCCTCAGTCATCCTCCTCAGTCATCCTCCTCAGCCATCCTCCTCAGCCATCCTTCTCAGCCATCCTCCTCAGTACTCTTCAGTACTCTTCAGTAGTCTTCAGTCCTCAAAATGTTTGTCCGCTTATGTCCACCAATGTCCGCTAATGTCCACCAATGTCCATCCAAGTCCGTCAATGTCCGTCCGGGTCCGCCAATGTCCGTCCGAGTCCGCCAATGTCCGTCCGAGTCCGCCAATGTCCGTCCGTGTCCGCCAATGTCCGTCCGTGTCCGCCAATGTCCCAAAAAACACGTCCGTTGTCTCATAGAATCCAAAAAGGACAGGACATAGGCGGACATAGACGGACATGACACCCCCCCCCCTGAATGTAAAGTAGCTGACATGTATTTAATTGTTTTCAAATATCATGAGTGTCACAATTTGATTTACAGGTACCATGCAAAGTGACATCAGCAGCACCCTTGTCTGATGAGCACCTTGATTCACTGAAAGGTGCTCTGGGAAGCTTCTTGAAGCCTAACGAGAAACTTCTTCTCGATACCGCTGTAAGTCATTTCAAATTTATTGTCGATTGGTTAGTTCATTATTGTTGTATTGAGATTTAAATTTGTTTTAATTAAGGGCACATTTTAAACTATGTTAAATTTCAGACTGACGCGTCTCTAATTGGAGGAATGGTAGTTGAAATTGGAGACAAAAGGGTCGACATGTCCACCGCCTCTAAGATAAAGAAACTCAAAACCGCTCTTTCTCTCCCTCTTTAGTTTTTGTAACTTATCGAACAATTTTCATAAGAAGAGACTGTTAAGTTATTGAAGGATGTGTATATATGGATGCTATGTACTGATGTAATAATGATAATTCGTACATAAATCAGCATTATGATTTCAAACGGGGAATATGGTCACTAATCACTATCGGCTAAGCTATTATCGCGAACGTTCAATGTCATACATGCTTCCAGAATCTGAAGACCATATTCCCTACGTATCTCAGAGTTACGGAATTATGTATTGATGTTGGAGGGCGCAATGCTTCAACTGTAATAAAAGTACCGTAAACGCTCACATTTAGTGTACGCGCGGGTCGCGCGTCTCCTCGAGTTGAATTCTAGCTGGCTACCAAAATGTTATGTTGTGGTAAAACCGCGCTAAAGTCGCACAAAGTTTGAGACTTGCGAGTGTCTGCATAGCAAGAACATTGCCGCGTGTTCCAATTATGTACGGAATTTATATTACACCAACGTTCCACATCCGCGGCACGCCCTAGCAGAACAAACAAAGAATACGAGATTTTCATCAAATAAGAATGTAAGATAAAAACTGGATTAAACATCCACTAAATTAGTGTAAGAATTCTAAAATAACACTCTACTAACAAAAGGAATTATACATCGCCTGAACAAACTGCCGCAATCACAATGTCATTCGCAGTTATCAGGTCCCAGGAATCTACAAAATAGATTTAAAATCCTTGAAATTAAAATTCCAGGAACGTTTCAGACTCGCAAAATGTGAAATATATAGTTCAAATGATTCTGTTTCATTGCAGGGAATTAAAGCGTGATTATTATGTAGTTTACTAATGAATATAAGTCAAAATCAAATGATTCCCGAAAAACAATACTTAATTGGAAAATCAATAAAGAATCTTTACGTCCGTTAATAATTGAACTAAGACAACGGAGGCGAAGCAAAATGCTCAATATATGTACACAATTACCATTAAATCTAGAGTACTATATTTTAGTATTATTGCTAATCAACTAAGTTAACTCTATCACTACTGAATTCTAAAAGTGAAAAATGCCAACAATTTGCGTTATTTCTCTTAAACAATTTTCTGAAAAATTTTACGTAAATACAAAAACGTTTCATACGTCGTCTGCGAAAGAAAACAATATAATGTAAAATTCTCATGTTACTTCATTTTCACAGAACTATGGGTACAAAAATTTACGAATAAAAAGTGGATTAAGATTTGGAACTGTATAAAAAAGGCGTCACATGGTGAGAACGGACCCCAGATTTATGTTTTTAGAAAAGATTCCGCCAGAATTAAGGGGATTAAATCTGACTTTGTGTGAATTCTCTAGGATACGCTGACACATGTTGGGGTGAGTGTCTGTATTGATCTAGCTCGGCTTTCTGTCGTTTTATTATGAGATTCTTTTCTTGCAAATTCCGCTCTAAAATCTTTATCTTGGCGTCCTGAGGAGAGATTGCGATAAGTTTTATGTTTATTTGCTGGTTGAGGATCTAATCATCAGTCAGTATTAAATAAAACTAAAAAGCAGTTTCACAAAACACAACAGGAAACTTAATACAACATACCAAAACCATCTCATTACCTGTTTTAAAGCGTTGGTCTCCAACTCCAGCACTTTCTCCCGTAAAGACAGACCATCGACCCGATCTAAAGAACACAAGCTACTGTACTCGGAGGTGCTGCTGAATTCTTTGTAGAGTGGCGCAGGCTCGCTGGAGAGCAGCGCAGCGCTGCTGACTAGGGAAATGTTGGAGATTGAGATTCCACCTGATGAGGCTGAGAGACGGTCTGATCTGAGGAGGAAGAAAGAGGTTAATACCAGGCTTAATTAGGTCTACATTTAAAGCTAGGAATCATGAAGGAGATCATTGAAAAACAGTGATGTGAAGTATTACCTGTCAATCTCTCTGTCTGATATCTTCTGGCAGAAGTCCTCCAGGTTCCTGAGTCTCTGATCCACTTCTCGGGTGACATCCAGACCGCTGGGTATTACTCCTCCCCGTGACTCAACTGTCTTCTGCAGTAATAGCTTCAGGCGCTCGTTCTCCTGGAAATAGTTTGTGTTTATATTAGCATGAATGGTAATGATAACAAGCTCGCATAGTTATAATTCCTGTTAATTAAATACTGATGATTAATTAGAGTTTCTCAGAGGAAATGTCTAATATTAGATAACATTTTAACAGCCACATATATTTGATAGGCCATACAAATTTTAGTTAAATCAATTTGAACGAATCTGAAGAAGGGGGGGGGGGGGGGGGAAGAATACTGACTGAAAAACTGACCCATTTTATGAGAATCCGTATAATCCGTATAAATATTAGAATGTTACCCACCTCTTTGAGAGTGATGTTCTGCTGAGCGTTCTGACTGCTGGAATGTTGCACATTACTGAGGTGTACTGACAGCTGACCCAACTTGTTGTGCAATGTCTCGTTTGTGCGCTGCGACTGCTCCAACTCTGGGATGGTGCAAATATTTAGCAAATTATTGTTATATTTTGGAAATAATTCGATTTTGTAGCCAATTTAGCAAGCTGAGCAAAACGTTAAGCCAAATTATGTTAAGCCAAGTCGAAAATCTAGGCAGACATTTCAAAAGTTTTGCCGAAGCAAATCTTGAATTTGTACCCTAATGTTTGGAATATTTGTAACACATGTTTGGAATACTTGAGCCAAATATTTGATCAGATAACGGTAACAATTTGTCCAAAAAAAGGGAGATAACAGGTTCAAAGGAATGGTAAGTAATTACAACCGACATCTGAATAACCAGATATCCTAATACCGCCCTTCACAAGGTTAAACATGGCTATTCTTAGTAACATAGATAAGCTTGTACTTAAGATGAAACTGCCCTACTGTAATATTCAATGTTACAGAAATTTGCAATGATAGCACTGTACAGAAATTTGAAACTAAGATTCGCACGGGGTTGTCAAGCTGTAATCTGAATTGTGGCTAAAAATAACCCCGTCTAATACAGTAGCTGAGTAGTAAGTACTCAACATGTGTGCAGAATCAAACGGAATTTAAATAATTCGGAACGATGAAATTCAGACTTCCATAATATCTATTTGCTGATAATGTAAGGTATAGGGTGATTAAAATAGTGTGTATCTTACAGCAGACATTTCCATGCTGATGATACATCAGTGTGACCCTATTTTAGCGTTTCAACAATAGCACAACAAGTGGCCACATGGAAACATGTCTTGAAGTTGTTCTTGTGTGCATTCTCTTTCAGACTAATGACAAGAAAAATTGACAGCAAAATAAGAGATAATGGAAATAAGCGGCTCTGTAAGATTAAACACGTCATAGATTAAATATTGCATTATATAAGTTACTCTCTCAACTAAAAACTGATAATATTACTCATTACTGGATTTAGAAACTTCTATTATAGAGAGGAGTCAGTGTGATTCACTTATCTAGGTGAGATTCCTGGAATTTCTAGTTTACTAACGATTAGTAAGGTAATTTATAGTGTAAGCTAGTTGAAGAGGTATAAGGCTAGTTTACTCACGGTTAGTAAGGTTATTGTAAGCTAGTTGAAGAGAAAGGAAGCTGTTATCATCAGAGGGTGACGCACTGTTTGGAGGCTCGATGTAGGGAGGCTGCACACTGAATCTTCTCTCTCCTAGTCCGTTCATTTGCACATTTCTTCAGTTAACACGGGGCATTTTCTACATTCCTACAGAGGTAACATGGTTAGGAACGAACAGATGGGATAGCAGACAAGTTAAATAAAAGGAATTTTCACATTCCAACAATGCTGATTTGGTTAGGAACAATTATTAACCTACAAGCATACAGACAAACTTAGAGACGAACAAGTAGACAAACAGAGACAGTGCATAAAGCCAAAAGCACACCATTGCGAACTAGACTCCGAAGAATTTACGGCAAAGAAAAGATTGCGTGTAAAAGCGAGCTGCTGCAATTCCATGATGTGGTGAACAAGCCAGAACAATCAATACACAGGTAGAGCGATAAGGAGAACAGTGACATCTACAGAGGCGGCAAAAGCATTCACAAAGAAACTTGAATGAGAGGTTGTGTGACTGGATAATTAGTAATTGTAAACGAAGTGGAGTTCAAATTCCAGGAGTAGCGTATCATTTGTATCAAATATTTCAACATCACATGGTTTAAATTCCGCACATAGTACAACATCATATGGTATGAAGGTGGAGGTATGTGTAATGCGATACGATAATAAGCTTCGAAAATCTATAACATAGAATTTAATCAAATTACATATTTAAATATTAATAAATTACCCTCCCTAAAACACTGGTGAAATTCATTTAACTTAAAAACCCAGTTTTAAAATAAAACAAATAAAAACTTTCCTTTAACAGCAAACACAGAAATACTCGTGAGTTTCTAAAACCACGTACAAGCACCGCTATTTCACCACAGTTACACGAACATGACGGTACTGTTTACTTGTGGTATTCCTGACCAATAATACTCCTCCTTCTCCTATCTTCTTGTAAATACTAGTTAGGATCAGAGCTATGCCAGCTCCTCCACCAGTAGCAAGACAGTATTTACCTGATGTAACGTAACCTACTAGCGGGTACTTGTCTTCTGAACTGTACACAGGATCTCCTGATGTGGTCTGATCACGTGGTTTAGTCTGATCACGTGATGTATTCTGATCACGTGATGTGGTTTGGTCGAGGTAGTAGATTTGAGCCCCAGGACGGATGTTCCCACGTTTAACACAAGTAACAGACACAGTAACAAAGTTAGAGCCCATCTCTGAAGGTAGACTCTCCAATTTGTTCAACAGAGCAGGACTTCTGATTACATAGATAACCTCACCTCCACACACGGCTCCCCAGTCTGATACAAACGGAGATAATATCCCCAACTCCTCATATCTGACTCGTTTCTGGGGAGGTCTCCTCATCTCCAGCCCCTCCTTCTCCCTCCCCTCCTCCTCCAGGTAAATTCTCCCTGCCAGGGTGTCCGGGTAATCAGCTGGGAAACAGGGAATACTCCTGTCGGAATGTAAGGAATGTGAGTCCCGGAGTCCTATAACCCTGGCCCCGTTGTAGATTAGAGATATCCAGACTCGGGTACCAGTACCACGTGGTAACAAAACTGTCAGAGACCCCGTCTCTGGGTCTTTGTAAATGCAACACGGCAGTGTTTCCTCTGTCTTATCAGGTTGATAACTGTCAGTGTTATCTGTTTGATGACTGTCAGTGTTATCTGTTTTATCACCTAGAACTGATCTGAAGAGGAGCCCTCCACACAGACTACTGTCTGGACTGAGTCTGTGTGCTGGTTGTGCTATCTCAGCGTCTAATACAGACACAAAGTTTCTATGTTGAGGTGGACGTATGACAACTCTACAGCCCAGTGCAGCGCCTCCCATCACATCATAACAGAAGGGGTTCTCAGACAACTCCTCCCAGATCTCCTTCACAACACTGTCCGTGTTATCTGATAAAACAAGGGATTTAACGAGGAGTTCTAACGACCTGACCCCCTGCAGTGTGAACTGAGATAAGGTATCAGTGTGGGGCGTGTAGGAGAGACCAGTGAACACCGTGGCAAGGTCAGTGTGGTGGGGTATACCGGGGTGGAGACACAGAAACACAGTGTGTTCACTCACCCAGTACACTCTAGCAGGTCCCAGACACACTCCCTCGTGATACACATGTGAACACGTGACTCTATCTAGAGCAAGGTAGTTGGGAACGAGAGTGTTAGTTAGAGAACTGTGTAGAGACTGTCCAGTGAGGGATACCCACTGGTGGAAACTAGTGTCCTGTATTGTAGTAGCTGTGTTGGTGGCGCGGTGTGCTGCTCTTGCACCTTTTTGAGTGCTACACTCTGCTATTCTGTAACCCCACCTGTCCGTCATGTGACATCTTTTAGCGTGCCACAAGTGTGTTTCTAATCTCTTTGCTTTCTTATCTCCACTCTTGTCATCATCAGTCTTTACACAATCTTCATCCTTCCTCCCGGATCTCTTCTTCCATTTGAACTTAGCCTTGCTCTTCCCCGCATCAGGTGGTCTCACTCTAGCAGGGAGCCGTTTAGGGTTATGACTAGCAGCCCTGCGGCGCATGTAGAAAGGAATAGATAGTTTGACGGAGACTGACATGTTGGTTGTAAGCGCCTCCATTGCAGCAGTTATCTCCTGACTACGTGAGTCTACAATGTCCATAACATTGACAGCTTGAGCCATGGTAACGCTAGAGAGGGAGAGAGTGTATGAGAGAGGGGAGGCAGTGAGCTACTCAAACACAATGTTCAGTGTATGGTTTACAAAGTCGTGGGAACAAATCACAAATATTGGACCTGCTGTACAAATAACACCTCCTGTATTATATCCCTCGCTCACAAGTTATAACTGTGAGCTATTTATAGTTACAGTTGTGGGTAGAAATGCTATTTGTGGAAAGCAAAAGCAGAAGGCCACTAAAAAGCAAAATCACGACAATATTAGTTTACATTATCATACGTCATGACTCATGATGTATTAATCAATCCATTATTATCAAAGTAACAAACTCAACATTCAAACTCAAACAATAAACCCAACACAAAACATCAACGCTGCACAGCGCGAGCGTTCACATTCTTTAAAACAAATTCACAAAGGCACGGGAGCCAGGGGCGTTACTAAAATATGTGCGCTCTAGCAGCAACTAACAACAATATCTCCCAGCCTGTAAAACTTCCAGTACACAAATGAAAATAAATCAAATTAAAATAACAAAAACTGGAACCCTAAGAACGCCAGTCAGCCTTCTAGAAGGATCACCCTCACAGCACTAATGAAAAAGAAAGCATGCATAATTTTAGCATAATATTCAAGGGGAACAGGTAGAGTTTGGCGTGGAATATAATATTACCTGCGGTGTAAAACAGGAATGCGAGCTCTCTCCGGCTATCACATTATCATTTAAAACTAATTAATTTTGTAATCTTTACGATCCTTGTTGAAGTAAAATCCGTTAATAAAACTGAGAGAGGCTCGTGTTACACGGATGATCAGAGGAACCACAATCATCTCCCCCCTTGTGAGCTTATCATTGAAAAATGTGAGGAGATCACGTAATAAGCATACCGGGAATACTTTGGAAGTAAAGCTGGCATGGGGCCAGACCTAGTAAAGTCAGCACAAAGTTTAAACAGAAAGCAGGAATGAGATTATCATACCTGACATGTCATCCATTTTTTGAGTATGGGAAATGAGCTAAAGAGGTGACGTGGTGTTACAGGTCACGTGCTCAGGTCACGTGCTCACTACTCAGGTCACGTGCTCACTGCCCAGGTCACGTGCAGAATGAAAGAGAGGCTCTATTATGTGCATCCTATTAACCCGATCAAGGAACTGAGCTGACAGTTAGTTCACTTTCAGGTACATTTCACAACATTCCACAGCATCACGCACAGAACAGATCACATATTATATATAGGAGGTGATCTTGTTGATGATGATGCTGGAAAGTGGGTTGTAACATTACCTCCTAGCACACAATTCTCAGAATTTCTTACTCCACCAACTCCCCAGACAAAAGAAAAGACTTGTAAAAACACACTACTGTAACGAGCAAGGTCTACAACTCATCATCAGAGCCACCTAAGGCCCTCCAAAAAGACATAGCAACTTGCTCGGCAAACATCTTCCGCTCCGTATCCGGTAACTGTCCCGCTACTTCTTTCATCTTCATCATGTTTGAGAACATATTCTCAAAGTCTCCCTCTAGCTCTTCTCCTTCCATCAAACTCTGAAAATCAGCCAGAGTATTGGTTCCTGACACATACTCTCCAAACTCATCTGGAGTACCGTTACTATGGTTACTACCGTTACTATGATTACCATCGTTACTATGATTAACGTCTATAGGAGCTGGAGATTTCTTCATGGTCCTATAAGGCCACATGTGACATTCCAACGCGGCCCTCACTCGTCCCATACCCTCACACTGACCCATAAGTGTATCCTCACTTTCCGAATTATCTGATACAATGTACTTGATAAACTCAAACTCGTGCTCCATGCACCATTCCAAAAACTCAGACTCAAACTGAGAATCCTCACAGTTAATCAGTAACAGCTTCACGGCTGGATCCACCTCTGATATAAAGTCACTGAACACATCTACACTGCTTAACGCTGATTTCACATCTAACACAGGTTCGTCTATAACATAAACAAACGCCTCAACAGTATCTGTTATCTCCTCTACAGGCAGCTGGGTAGCGTAACATATCTGAACAGAGACGGTGAAGTACTTGTTGTTGAAGGTGATGTAGTTGTGGGGGTCGGCGGAGAGGGTGGTGGAGATATCAGAGTTGGGGATGGTGAGGTGTTACATATCAGTACTCTACTCGTCATTATACCTGTACTGTTAGTGTTGTGTTAGTACTGGAATGCTAGTTTTAACACTATGTTACACTCAAATATCTGGACCAGGTTAGTACAGGAATGACTCGTATGGCTGGTGACAATTTACAATGTCGCTGGTACAAAGTTAAAAGTTTGACAAGTGCAACTAGTTATAAGTTAACTACAGCAGGGTTCAGTTTGTTAAGAGGACCTCCAGAGCTACAGATCTAAATCTTGGCTCTGTTCCATCCCCCAATACTAAGCAAAGGAAATATCACAGCTCATAGCTTGCATTCTTAACTTGGTGTGTGTCCACAGATGAGAGCTCTTTACAGTCAGACCTGATTAATCACTTTGGTTTCATAAAAACGATTGGTAAAACAGGAGTTTAGACAGAACATTTAGTAATTTAGATAACTTACTAGTCAAGTGATCCATGGACTAAACCTCTAAAACCTTATCAAATTGAATTGGAAAGTGAAAGTTCGAACGAACTTTAATGATTCGAATTGTGAAAATAAAATTAAATGATAAAATTAAGAAAGATACAAACATACATTTTGAAGCAATTTCGATTACATTTAATTTAAAGTTATTCTTTAATTTTAATTCATTGATTATTGACATCATTGACGGCAATTTCGTAAAGTAATACTCATGATACCCCCTGTATCAATTTAATTCAATTATACAAATATTATTATGATTTATATATTAAACGTCAAATAATGTACTGGTTTTGAAATCAAATCAATTCAGAAAATGTCAGTCAAAACCAAAATAAAACCCAACAAAGCAGGTCAACTTGAGGCGAATTTTACAAATTACCCCGAAAATGAGCGTGGGCCATGCATTTTATAAAACTTACACCTAGTAGTAAGTTCATATCTAGTCATAAGCAGTGTTCAGACTCAATAAAAATGGGAAAATACCTGATTTAGACACACACACACACACACACACACACACACACACACACGGAGGGAGCAGTCCAACAGAACAAGTGAGACATGCAGTTCAGAATGAGTATATTATGGTAAGTGTGAAGATCCGTAATGAGGTTTGGAGTATTGAGTTTCTGTCACATATTTGAGGAATTTGTGTACCAGCATTTCGGTCAGTTCCGCGGAACTGGATACCAGAAATATTACAACCCTCCAGCAATCTGCTGACCTTATTACTGATGAGGTCACGTGGCAGGGTATTTGTCACGTGGCAGGGTATCTGCCAATGTGACTTATCAAACATATCATTAAACACTACAACAAGCTCCCATAGAAAACGAAACCCAACCCAACTGAAAGGCTTTAAACCAAGTTATTAAAAACGAAATATTCAAACTATTCTTTAAAAACTCCCAGCCTGGTATCAAGTGGCTAATTTCCTAATTAAAATAGTACGACGTCACAACCACCGGAAGAACGTTACAACGGAAAGGAAACTCATTAACAATGATCGTAAGGGTGTAGATACCGCGTGATCGTACAATCGGGAGGGGGGGGGGGTGTTGCAGTGCCGGGGGCTAATCTTTTTGCACACGCTATAAGTCTACAACAAGCTCACTGATCTATTCTATAAGATTAGCCAAATCTACCTGTTATGACTAACTAACTGATCTATCTGTTTAAATATTAAAGTTGTTGCAGCCCCTAGCCTCATTCCGATCCCCGTCGCACAGTGACGCACAGTGACCGCACATTTCATAACCATGACGTCATACTATCTGACATTCTTGTGACACAGCCAGTCCTAATGACCTTACACACTATGAATATATATATATATATTATATATATATATATACTATATAGAACATGTAATGTGTGATTTGGAGATTGATATGTAATGAATTATACTTGTCAGAAATGATCTGAAGGCTCAATCTTATCACGTGACTTATGACTAGCTCAGTGCTGATTTTATCATTTTTCTAGACTAATTCATTCAGTGTGTAGGCTTGTGATCTGTTCATTCATAGAACATTTTAGACGACAACTTTTCATTAAACTTCCATTATCATATAACACTCATTGGCATTATAATATCATATAACTCATAATTGGCATTATCATAAAACTCTGATTTACTTGACTTGGTTTGATATAAATAATTTAAATACAGTCGAGAACACACCATATCTATTTACACTGGCTACGTATCACCGGAGAGAACAGCTCAGTTCTCTCCTGACACAGTTCGCGCCTCACCGCTGGTTCATGAACTGATAATGAGTTTTAAGTTCAGTGTGTCTCTCCCGGGTCTTAATCCTCTTCAAACACTCCTCAAACCTCACAATGTACTCATCTAAACTAGGGATATTGTCACAGTCTGTGATATTGAGCAGGTTTTTAAACATTTCCCCGAACAGGTCCTGGTCAACACGTCTGTGGGGGCTCTTGGTGGGTAGCCACATTCCCGAGTGCTTGTCGTAGTAGACTTTCATGTACTCGCTGTGTATCATGAGGTGTATGCATGATAACATACCGTAGTAATCAACCTGCAATTTATTTGTTGTGAAGATATAAATACAGCGTAACTCTTTAAGTTCAGGAGAAAATTATTATTCTCTAACAACCGACCAACACCGGACTAATTTATTACGAGGCCTGTTAACAGAACTCCACTTTTGGCATTATTTTACAGATCATAAACAATAAACATGGCGTCATTAGCCAACCCCGGACGAATGCAAATATCATAAATTTTAAATGATCTAGAACATCTAAAACAATAATATGACCTGGAACAGTTAGAACGTTAAGATGATCAAGAACATTCTAAACACGTCATTACCTGGTATGTCCAAGGTCGATTGGTCTGCATTTCCACACATTCAAACATCTCTGTTCTCGACCTCACATTAAACTTAGAATCTGGTGGTAATATCCTCATATCAATCGACCGACCAAAGTCCACAAAAACAATACTTTTCGTCATCTTCATGGACATGGATTGCATGGTGTTCTCCGCATCCTTAAGGAGTAAGTTATCCGGTTTGATATCCCCATGAATGATTTCAGCACGATGAATAGCACTGACACACCTCAGAATGTCCAGCGTGTAAGTACAGATAACAGTGTTAGATACTGTCCTCCTATTGGCTGTGTAGTGGTTCATCATATCCAGCAAGGAGCCCTCGTTAAACAAACTCGTCATCAGCACAGAGGAGTTGTTAAACACGTGGACAGCATGTGAGGGTAGGATCATATCCCTTACATGGTAGGAAGTATCATCCTCCTTCATCCGCTCCAGTAGCTCACTCAGGATATAAAACTCCCAGGGACAGGGAGGTGACTGTATTTTAAATGCTCGCGGTTCAGAACACCCCGTATTCTCGTCCACACAATCACCAGAGTAGACCTTCGCAAACGCTCCCTCGCCAATCAGAGTGATGTTCTTAACACGCAGCGCGCCGAGAGTGATCTCCCGCCTGGGCACTAGATCAAAGTCGTGTTGGTTGAAACTAGGCCTGTAGAAGAGCGGGGGATCCAACGACTGGACTATTCGTTCTATCATGGTCTGACTATAGGGGTCAGTAACAGGCTCAGTAGGCAGGAGAGAGGTGCGGGGGACTCTAGTTAGTAGAGTACAGTCTAGTGGCACATCTCTGTTAGTTTTATCTGGGTATAAGAAGTAGTGCTCCTCTTCCTCTACTTCTGGTATCTGGGTTGTTGTTATTTTAGGGGACTATTGTCTTATTGTAGAGTATCATCATTCTGGTTCATTCATTGTATTCTATAAAATTCAGGATATTCAATATTGATGAGACCAACTAATAATCGTTATCATGATGAATGTGTCAGGAAGACGTGAGCTCTAATGACTAATACCTAACTAAAACCACACATATTGCTAATATCTTCCCACATACCTGCTCGACAGGGAAACTAATCTCCTCTTTTCTCAGGGGGGACCTCTGTGTAGGAATAGTCGCTGTAGCTTCAATACTTCGTCTTGTTCCCTCCAATAAGTTTTTATGATCCATGAATAAGGTCTGAAATGTTATTAAATGGTTCCAGGGAGGAAGTCAAATGTTTGAATCGAATTTATTTGTATACTTAAGTTACAGTTTAAGACGAAGCTGCAAGAAAATGGTAAGGAGGGTCAAATGTAAAAAAGAGCGAACCTTTTCATAACAATCACTTTTAGCAGTCTGCTCTGCTTTCTCTACTTCGGTAGTAGACAACGCATTAGACGTTTTGTTTGAATCCAGGGATGTACAGTGGGACTCTCCACTCTTCTCCAGTATCGGGGTTAAATGAATCTTATTCTCTTCGAACTCCTCCTGACTGAAGGGAACCACCATCGGCTGTTTATCAGTCAGACTGACATCTGGAGCTGGTTCTGAATCAGAGAATATGGTGAAGGTTGAGGGGGCTTTAGGTGGCGCCTCATTCTCCAGCTCGGTTTCCTTGAGTGATTCCTCTGGAACAGTGTAACTGTCTGACGACAATGGAGCAAAAGAAACTTTATTTTGAGCTGGGATTCGTTCTTCAGAATGCTTTATACTGCTTGGAGAGTTTTCGTCAGCCTCAGAAATTGTCGTGCAGTCGTTCAGGATGTTCATCACTTGTTTTTGTATGAGCTGAGTATCGGTGCTTTTTAGTTTGACTCCCATCTTCTCTACAGTACATGGAACATAGGAGTTGTTGGTAGAGTTATTGCACGGAGTTAGGTGAACTCTTTTCAGAGAATACGATTCCTCCACCGACTTTTCAGGAGTTTTCTTGAAGATTTTAAAAGCATCAGATGGCCTACCATCGAAGTTGTTGATATCGTCAAGACCAAAGTTGTCTCCAAATAACATATCGTCTTGGTCTTTAACAGGTGTTGCCTTGCCACTATCACTGAAAATTTCGAATAACGGTTTATCATTAGGTTCAGGAGGACTTTTCAGCTTGAGTTTCTTCTTTGAGAAAGCACCTTTAATTATTTCAGGCTCCTTAGGAGGCCCATCAACCCTACCCTCGCGCACTACCGTGTCTTCGTAAATAGCAAAATGGGACTTAGCTTCAGGTAAACCTATGCTAGTTTGGAGACCTTTAAATGTAAAGTCAGAAGGACCATCATTGCCGAACAACTCTCCATCTCTTAACTCACATTGGGACGCATCGTCTTTGTTATCAGGATCATCAAGAGATGACTCACATTTCCTTGAGGCTAGCCTCAAACTGTCCTCTACAGGTTTCTTGAAGTCTGATGTGAAGAGAGAAGAGTCACTTCTGGCAGATAAGTTTAATGAGGATCTCTGTTTCAGCTGAAGCGCATCACCAAAGTTGGGTGCCATGACTGAGTCTTTGTTTTCTGGTTCTTTGCAAATGTTTTTCTTCGTAGACGACATTATTGTATTTTCAATATTGAATTCAGTAATATTTGAACCAAATTTAGAAGTGGAAAGGCACGATTTTAATGGTTTCGAACCAAAACTGTCTTCAAATGACTCGGAAACAGAGCGCTTACATTTTTTGCCGTCATTTGATTCACTATCTGAATCTAATGATCTCTTTGGAGAGTTGGTTGAAGAGTTTAAAGAGTTGTTCCTAGCATTAAATCTCCTTTGTGCTTCTATTTCCTCAAATGACCACACTTGGCCACTGAGAGGATAAACTTTGCTCTTGTGATAGCCGACTGTGCTCACAAGATTAGAACTACCTTTCAGAACGGGAACTTTCGAACTTGAAGGAGCTGTTTCAGCTGAAGTCGCTACTTTCTTGGCCTTCAGTGCAGTTGAGTTCTTCTCAAACTTTTGCTTGTCCTGATTAGATCCGCTGCTCTCCTCGAATATGGAGAAGGGTTTTCCAATTGGTACAGTACTTTCAGTTTCTGCTATCACGTTTTTCCAGCGCTGTTTCTTCGGCTGAGCATTCTCCTTGCACCTAGTCCTTGTTTCGAGAGGATTTGTAGACATGGACGGGAGAGAAGAAGGTTGGGAATTTTTGTCTGTAAAGATAGAAAACTGAGTTTTAGCCGAGCTGCTTCTACTGGAAGGCCCAGGTAGTTGGTTCTGTGAATAGTCTTTAAATATTTCCTCGCCAGGTTTTCTCAAATCTTCAATGTTTTCCATCATGTTCTCTGTGTTAGAAGAGTCCATGGCATGAAGTATTTGTATCTTCATTCCTCGAAATGTTGATGTGTTTTTGAATATTTTAATAGCTTTCTCACAGATCTTCAAAGCTTTGTCGTATCGCTGTTTGTAAATCCAACAAGTTATCCAATTCGTCCAAAACTTGCTGAACGTGGTAACAAGGTTGTGATAGAAGCAGTAAGCGTACACATCAGTAGCATGAACGGAGTGATTGGCTAGGTCTAGAAATATGCGAAGCAGCCTCGGATCTTGCTTGTACTTCTCGTCCTCCTGAAACCTCTTGATAAGTCTGAATTGGAGGGTCCCAACATTGCTGAGATAGTCTCCCTCCGGGAATGCATCCTCCATGTACCTCACATATTTCACCCACACTTCCATTTCATCTTCTCCCTCGTAATCCTTTATCTCACGCTCAAATGCTCCCTGCTTTTCTTGGATCTGAGCCAACATGGGCGTTCCTTTGGGTGTTGTATTAATGTGGGATATGTTCCTGCCCTCCCGCTTAGGTTTTATATTTTCCTTACACTGTTCCCACTCCATTCCCTAAAATTGTGGTAGGTTAAAAAGGTTTTATAAGATATTATATAACATGGGTTACTCTTTGCAAAACTTCATATTAATCTATCCTAATTATACTGTAATGACTAATGACTAATAATCTATGAACATAATTTCATCATTTTATTCCAAAGACAATACAAGAATACGAAGTAATTATCATCAAATAAATTCAATTAGAATTGTCATATTAATTCATATTAAATTATAGTAATAAATATACTTTAAATATTAGATTTCATTCTGAAGTTCGTGTAATGTGTTTTGTCAAACATTGTATCTTTATCCACTATGAATGTATAAATAGTATCATGAAATTCAGTCTTAAAAATTCCAAGCCCTTGTTCAGAAAAACTTATTCTGATAAAATGTGATTAAAACTCCATATTATAGACGACAAACCGGCGATGTAACATAATAACTTATTATTAGAAAATCAAGGTCATTATTCACGAGAAATAGAAAGTAGTCATCCCCAAGAAATTGCATGTATTAAGCAACATTAAAACTTCCCAGGTTCTATCAAAAATTACACTTCTTGTACTAAACATTTCATTTGCTAAAAACATGTTAAAAAGGTAAAATTAATTATAAATAATTTAAAAATGAAGCAATTCAAGAGTTAAAAACTCATTTGGACTGATGAGCTAAGCTGGATGCAGCTAGTATTACAAATTAATATCCGAAAACTGTATTTGAACAGTTAGTATCAATAAATAACGTTTCATGAAACTCAGTCATGTATGCATAATCGATGGATGAACCAAGTGTCATGGATAAAAATAACCTACAAATATTCTACTGGCTGATAATGACCTCATGGAATTTGTTACCGGAGAGTAAACAAAAATAATGAACTGATATCAACCAACAAGCTCGTACATCTGTACTTTACATGGTTAGGAGAATGGTTTTGTTTTTCTTATCATGCACGAATCTGTTAGCCAAGAAGATATCACTCTCATAGAATGGCTGAAGGTTGTGAATGTTGATCTGCCTGGCCTTGTCCTCCAGTTCCTCTGCTGAAATATCCACAGTCTGTATGTCCCCACCATGTCTGGAACGAGAATATACCATCTGATCCTTGGCAAGCTGCTTCAAGATGAATAGCAGCAGCTCGTTGTTATCTTTCTTGTAGGACAGGTACTTGGAGAAGGTGTGTTTCATGTTCTTCATCACGGAGAACTTCTGAGTGTCAATGAAGCTCTCCAACATGATTCTAACGGCTATGTTAATATCATCCTCTCGAACATACTCCCTCAGGTGCACCTTAGCATGTGCTTCAGAGAGTCGTATCATGCTCTCTATGTGCCTTACTGTGATGGGAATGGAGCCGGTAGCCATACTCTCTCTTCTCAACTCAGCGTACAAAGAAGCTATCTTATCCTGGTCAACATAATGCAGCTTCGGCTTTATTTTCGTTCTTGCATACATGATGTATTTCTTGAGGAGGCCCTGTTTGACCCCATCATTTTGAGGCTCCGTGTCACTGGGGTCTGGGTTCATCATGTTGGCGGGATGATGTCTGACGTGGGATCCGGTAACAAACCTTGCCATCTTCTCGTCGATGACTGGATCAACTGTATCTCTTACAACACATAACACATCAAACCTTGACAATATAGGCTCAGTTAGGTCCACATTTTCTGCGAAGGTAAGCGACGGATCGTATCTACCTCCGATGGGATTTGAAGCTGCTATAATAGCACACCGGGCCTGTAGTTGAGCAACAATACCGGCTTTGGAGATGGAAATGGTTTGCTGTTCCATAGCTTCGTGGATGGAAGTTCTATCAGAATCGTTCATCTTATCAAACTCATCAATCAAACAAACTCCGTTATCAGCTAAAACAAGAGCTCCAGCCTCCAATGTCCACTCCCTGGTGACAGGATGCTTCTGAACGTAGGCAGTCAAACCGACAGCACTCGCACCTTGACCTGTTGTAAACACAGGTCTGTGAGCCACTTTAGTTACGTATTTCAGGAACTGAGATTTAGCTGTGCCCGGATCTCCACACAGCAGGATATTGATATCTCCTCTGACTTTGTGCTTTTTACCGGGGTTCTTGGGGACGCCACTGAACAGAGACAATCCAATCGCACGTTTGATGTTGTCGTGTCCGTAAATGGAAGGAGCTATACTGTTGAATACTCGCTGACCAATGCTCTCATCCTTGCTCAGAGCTAGAATCTCCTTAATGTCGTCGTCATTCAAGTTATCAACCGCCTCTTTATCCTCCTTGACCACAACATAGTTAGCCTCTATAACGGTGCTGAATACTGGGAACCCGTTCATGGTGTTGAGTGACCCATCAAACGAGTTAGTGTAGATCCCAGTGAGCTCTACCTCATCTCCTGGCTTACAAATGTCCACTAGATCTCCTAACAAAATAGCATCTTTCTGACGAGGTAGACGACCTGCAGCTATCTTCCCCGGACTCTCCTGGATGGAGATTCTCTGATAATTCTGGTATACCGTTTGCTCCATGTTAACCTCGAAAGGTCCATAAGACTGACACTCAGGGCAGGAAGTTGGTTTGACCTCTTTTCCTTGAGCCTGGACTAGAGGGCCGATAATGTTACCACACTTGGTACAGTCGAACTTGACGAGATTTAGTTGAGGAAGCACGCCGGTGTGACTTGTCACTACTCCTGAGGTCCTGATCAGTTGGTTGAGATGCAGCTGCCGGAGAGATCTTATCTCTTCAAGTAAGGGTAACTCTGATATTCGCACATGAATTTGAGTGGCAATCCTGTCATAATTTGGGAACAGGGACAGGACTACTTCTTTTGCGGCTTCGTCGAAAATGGACAGCATTTCTTTTGGTGCCTCAGGGAGGAAGTAAGCAATGACAGATTGTTCAGCAGCTAAACCATTGTAGCTGACAATCAGACTTTGTTTGTTAGCTTCACACATTTGTCTCATCTTCTCACGGTAAACTGATGCTCCCTTCTCATCCACATATGTACGCAGAAACTGCTTAAACCTGTTCTTTATTTCCAATCTAGGTCCAATCATAGAAACCCACTCTGAAATAGAATGTCCCTTGAGATCTTCAAGATTCTCAATAGCTTCAGGCATGTCATCCATAGGTTCATCTTCACCAGCCTGTTGAATGATACGTCTTCTTCTCCCTGGTCTAGCATCCTCGTCAGCTGCATCGAATAAGATCCCCCGTCGCATTCGACCATCTCCCCTGTCAGCCATTGCACGGTCTCTTTCTCTCATGTCACTTTCTGCAGCTGCCCTGAAAATAATTAAGATATAATATATATATATATGATCAACAATATCTGTCATAACAGAACTGTCAGACAATTAACCAAATTATCTCATGTCAATAATTTAGTACAGTGGAACACATGAACAAACGTCAAAAATGCACTTACAAACTCTTAATCATCAAATTGTAGGCATATTACATGTAATTCTGTTAGCTATTAGCCGCGAACACCCTCCCGTCTTAAAGTTAAAACTAATCATATAACACTTTTGAACTGAGAAAATAGCTAAGTTTTAAGTACCTGGCTCCAGGGCTCAATGTGGCATATTCCCCTCTATCTATGAGGTCCTCTTCGTAAGTATCCAGTTCAGGGATTGGCTGATAGTCCCTCTCCATATTGTCCCCGAACAGATCTTCCCCTTCACCCTGCAAAGTAGTTGGCATCATGTAATGCAATGCTTAGTCAAAATTTCAAATCAAGATATCTCACAAAACGGTGGCTGGTATTAGCTGGTCAATTATTGTGAAAAAGTAGGGACCACATAAAATTGAAAATGGTTCCCCTTTGTCAACAAGATATAACATGCTAATAATTGTAGACAATTTTTTTTCCAGGGTTTGTTGTACATAAAAACGGTAACTGCTTAACAACCTCGGCCTAACATTTTAGATTAAATTAGGATTGCAAAATTACTATTGGTTTAAATAGTTTGAATTTGTTGTCACATTTAGGTTTTCCAAATAGCAAATTGCACCAATTACAAGTTCTGTGTTTTAATTCTTAATAGCAAAGTAAAATGAATTTGTTTACTGTTCTTGACAATTATATCGAGCATCAAGCATCTAATGGTGCATAATTAAATTGGCCTTCATGGTGAAACTGTAACATTAAAAATCATTCAACTTGAATCAAAGCTTACCTCATCCTCTTCCTCCACATCTCGACCAAGAATGTTTGTTTCATCCTCAAACGCAGGCAAATTCTCAGATCGATTGGCTTCTGATCTGTCACGTGGCGGAGAGCTTGAGAACTCGATTATCCTCCGACGCCCTGGTGAACTTGCTGGATTGCTTGGTTCATCCATCTGCCCTACTGAATATGATGAGTTAAATAATGCAATTAGCAAGTCCAACTTGCTGGTTTTAATATTTCGTAATATTTACAAAGCCAAGTATATAAATTAGCATTAAGTCATATTGATCAGACTACCTGTTCAGGAAATCCTTCTATTGCAGCTGGGTGGCACTGAGCGAGATAACACCTGCACCTCTGTAAGCCAAATTGCATGTTATATCTGTCATTCCATTACCAATTATATTTATTTAACACATGCTCAGCAACCATCTTCACTCCCATCCCCAGCATCTAGTTTATTGATATCATTAACAGGAAAAGTTATCATACTGTTCTGTTTCAAGGCAACTTGAATTTATCGGTTTGATTAATAGATGGAGAGACAGAGGCAACATTCATACAATTGTGAAAATTATTCAGCTTGTCATTGAGGATCTCATGAGCAAATTTAACTGTCATCTGTGGTGGTGTCATGGTGCAAAAGAATCTGATGTTGAAAAAAATCCACAACTGCCCCCAACTAGATCCGCAATGCTCCAACTACCAGAGATGATCTGCCCAATGATCAGGAGGTACCTCTACATGCATTTTAGTGTACTGTAAACCACAGTGCTATACTAAACTTTTTTCAGAAAAAAAGGGAGCCCTTACTGAGCACCACCGGAATATGATGTTATCTTATTGAATCTGTACAAGTACTGTATTAATTAATATTAAATCATACTGGTCAAGACAAAATGTTTTAAAATGTATATTATATACTAATGTCTTGTATATACATTACAAGACATTTGTATATATGTATACAAACGTCTTGTAATGTATAATGTATATACTATACTGTAGTATAATATGTACATTTATAGCAACATTTATTTCCTAAATTAGTTAATTATATCCAGCTGTCTACTGCAACAATTCCCTAATCCACCCAAAACTGCATGTCGATTGTCGTTAGGGATTAGAAAAGTTAGCAGAACCACAACAACAAAAGATATAGTATATATAGGAACACAAAGAAAGTTAAACTGAAGGTGCATGAAAATGTCTAAAAAAGATCATCACTCTTAAGGAATTATAGTCGAGAGTGATATGCTATTAGCCAGTAATGATTCACCAGGTGTGGTAAGTAAAAATCATAAAACGATCCAATCGATAAAAATCAAACCAAGCAACTTAAAAGGCTTTGGTGTTTATAAATCAAGAGGCTTGCATATAATGAACATATTATATTATAAGGCAAGTTTGGTTTTTAATGAAAAAAAAATCGATAAATATAACAATTCTGTACAGGACAGTAATATTGTACGGTCGTTGAAAATTCAATACAATGTATGCAATGTATTATAATATGTAGTATGTGTGCAGAAAGGTACCCATGCGATATTAAAGAACCTGCAACCTTCTGATCGCAAGTAATCAAAACCCAACCACCATACCCCTTTTATTTATATGTATAGGTGACTTGATTATAAATCATGAAATTCATTAGCTTCAAGCCCATTTCACCGGGTCGTTTCACATATATACTTTTCACTTTTGTCAAAAATCGTAATTGAATTGCTGCGCGCGTCACAAGAACTTATATTTTGTATTTTCTTCCACGCAATGCCTTCCTTGTATGTTTATAACCTACCAAGACGTTGGACGACTTCGCCGCTTCGACGCGCCGCGCAAAATAGCATTCTTGCTTCGCATCGAAGACGAGATCGCTGCTTTGCTTTGCAAAGCAACGATCTGGAAGGGTTGACACCGTCAATCAAACCAAGACGCGCGCCAAATTTTGGAGGACTTCGCCGCTTCGACGCGCCGTGCAAACTAGCATTCTTGCTTCGCATCATCGATCTCGATGGGTTGACATTGTCAACCTTACTGGGCCGCGCTCAGCCTGTCATTCCGCCTAATCTCTATTCGTATTGTTTATGAACATAATAGCCTGAGGTCCCCAGGTAATGTCAACCAAGCCAAATTGGACTCGTCGACGGTCTTCGAACAAATATATTACGAGTATTTCTCGTTAATACCTTGCTCAAACCAGAGCTTATACGTTTTTGGTATATGAATATAAGCTGTAGGATTGTGGAAGTAAGCTCAAAGTTAAGTTGTATTACGTCGTGACCCCCAGGTTCGTTTCACTATTGTCCTGACGATACATTACTGGGCCGCGCTCAGCCTGTCATTCCGCCAAATCTTTATTCGTTATTATTGTTAATGAACATAATAGCCTGGGGTCCTCAGGTAAACGATACAGGGAAGCTTCACATAGCCATGTGTTTACGCGTACGGCGGTCGCGCACTACTGCAAGCGAGAGGGCTCTGGTTAGAGCAACAGGGAAGCCGCGCACTCGTGCGCGGCGGGTCATACAACGTATGACAAGCTCAAAGCTATTATTATTTATACTAATGTACTTTTTATGCTGATTTCAAATAAGACCTAATTGAGGATGTCAATTCATCATTAACGGATGTTACTCGTCTAAATTTCTTCGAAGTAGCGCGCGCCGGGCCAAATCTTTAACAATGGTCAAATTCATCGCAGCTTGTTGAGGCGCAGTAGCGCATTTCGCCGATCTAGCGAGAAGCATAAATAAGACCTATTACTTAGCATGAAAATCATTTCTTGGCATTTAGGATTCGAGTCAGTTTTGGTTTTAAAGTAATTTTGAAGATAGTATAAAAGTTTTAAATACAGATTTGTGCACTTTAACTTTAGCTTTAAATACTTACGATAAAATTCAAAATTAGCATTAATAAATGTACACAGAACAGTTGATTGACGATGTCAACCCATCGAGATCGTTGCTTTGCGAAGCAAAGCAACGATCTACGATGCAAGGCAAGAATTGAGAATGCGAAGCAAGAATGCTAGTTCGCGCGGCGCGTCGAAGCGGCGAAGTCCTCCTTACCTGAGGACCCCAGGCTATTATGTTCATTAACATAAATAATAAAGATTTAGCGGAATGACAGGCTGAGCGCGGCCCAGTAAAGTCCTCCAAACCGAACGGCCTCTAAATAAAATCTAATAGTCACCATAAATAATATTTGAAACAAATATTTTACGAGTTTCACCCGTTAACCTTACTGGGCCGCGCTCAGCCTGTCATTCCGCCGAATCTCTATTCTCTATATGTTATTGAAAATGATAGCCTGAGGTCCCCAGGTAACCGTTAACCGTTTTGTGTACATGATTATACGGTTTTTGTTGTAGATTTACAACCTACCAGGACACGCGCCGAGTTGGACTCGTACTCGTCGACGGTCCTAATAATTGGAACAAATATTTTACGAGTATCACCTGTTAAGGTTTTTGTTGACATACGTTGCATGCCACTTTTCGCGTGCGAAGCGCGCGCCGCCGAAACATGAAACATGTATCAAGGTTTTTGTTATATGACTATGAGTAAGCTGTGGGATTGTTAAATGTTAAAGTTAGCGTTATACCGATGCTATTCTTAATGTTTATCCTAGCCCTCTAAATTCTATTTTGATCCCAACCCTAACCATGAGTTAACCCAATTTCTAACAAAAGCATATGCTGACACCCTAACTTGCTTTATCCAGAGCCCTTGTGCTTGCATTAGCGCGTGTCCGCCTTACGGCGGTAAAAAGGACCACCGTGTCTTAACCTTTTCTTGACTTGTGAAACAAGCGCGCCCGCAGTGGTGTGAAAGCACATGGTTAGGTGAACACCCTAACTCTAACGAAAAATTATACCAACTTCCTTATTATAATTATATGGTATATCACGTGATCGAGACAGTTTTTCGCCAATGCCTCGCCAGGGGAGTATTTTAACCCTATGACCAATGACATGAGGGTGATTCGGAATCAGCGTCGTGTCCGAAAATACATTGATTCAAGTTAGTTTCAAGATAGAATGTAAAGTGATTTAGCACGCTCGATCAGCGTCCGTAAATTGTATAACTATAATTGATAATATTAATACAAATGACTGGATTTTAGAATGTAGAATTTTAATGACCTGGGGGACCTCAGGCTAGGCTTTTGTGTTCATAAACACAATTAAAACTATACCGGAATGACAGGCTGAGCGCCACTGCACCTTAGGCTTAACGGGTGATACTCGTAAAATATTTGATTCTAACAGTAACTAGGCGTGCGTCCTGCCGTCCTGGTAGGTTATAAACCTACAACACTGCGTCACTGCACCCAGTAAAATTTGCATTAACGGTTAACGGGTGATACTCGTAAATTATTTGCTCCAAGATCGACCGTCGACGAGTCCAACTCGGTGTGCGTTTTAGTAGGTTATTAAACCACAAGATAATTGGAACAGCATAAAACTTACTGGTCGGCGCGTTTTAGCCTGTCAGTCTGCCATATCCTCTATCGGTAATTGCAGTGTGTTCATTCCAATTACCATAAACTGTATCACATCTACTGCAATAAAGTACCAACACCAAGTAATTGGCTTACACTTACAGCTCATATACTTAAACATGCGAGTCACGTGACCTATTAAGTACTACATTGTGTAAACAGTATTAATTTATCTATACTATCATTAACTGAACCGGAGAACAACTTACACGCACGCACCAGTGTCTTGGCAGTACAGCTGGAAATCAGGCTATTCAGTATTGTCTCTATCTTTTTAAACTTGTATTAATGTTGTTTTGATCTGCTTCAGATTTTTAACTATTGAACTAATCAGACGGTTTGTTTACTTAATGAGTATTTTGTTGTTTTTATTGTTGTTAGTTAGAAATGCAGTGGGTCAATCCGCTTGTCAAATAGGTAAGTCGGAAACGAAAATAATTGTTAAAGCACATTAAAATATGTTGTTTGGAAAAGCATATATTTATATATAACAATAAATTTCACATTTCATAGCTTTAATTAGAATTACCATAGCTACTCATCCCGTCCTCCCGAACTTCTTTTTCCACAGGCAGTTTCGAATGGGAGGTAACTGGTAAGAGTTCAAGCAAAATTTTGCATACCGGAGATACGATACTTTTGAAATGTGCAGCGTCTTCGGAATTGTGTGCAGGAACT